TCTTAAGAAAATGGCCAATTCCTCTTCTTGTCTCTCAGAATGCTCAGTCTTGTGCCTCTCTAAAATGCTGGCAAGACCAAGCTGACACATGGGAAGGTCCATGTGGTTATTCTCGCTGCCAGCCCTGGTGATCCAGCCAACTGTGGTCATCAACTGCCAGAAATGTTGTAACTGAGCACATTTTCATATTGTAGCCTAAGTTGTAGAGTCATTCAAGCCTTTAGGCCACCCCTGCTAATACTCAGGAAGAGAGCTAAATGGGCCCTGCTGAGCTCTGTCCACATTTCTCATATGTTAAGCAGAAGAAATGAAAGGTTAAATCACTTAGAGCTGATCTTTATATTTCCAGCAACTAGAGTGGTACCTTACATACAGAAGGAGTTAATATTTATTGAGAAGCTGGATGACCAAAAACCATATTAAAATCTTTAAGGAAATTACATAATCAAATTTATTTATTAGAAAATCCTTCTGACAGTAGACTGAAGAATGACTGGGAAGTAAATAGCGGTATTAATCAGCATGGACTGCCAAAACAAAATAACATATGACGAGTGACTTAAACAACACAATGTTTCTCACAGTTCTAGAGTCTGAAAGGCTGAGATTAGGGAGCTAGGAGCCAGGATGGCTGGATTCTAGTGAGGGCTTTGTTGCCTTCATACTGTGTCCTCTCATGACAGAGAGGGAGATGGTAAGAGGTGCTTCTTATTTTAATGACAATAACTCAATTAGGAGGACTCCTGCCTCATGGCCTCATCTAAACCTAACAGATTCTAATCTGCTGGGGATTAGGAGTTCAACAGAGGAATTTCGAGCAATTCTATTCAGTCTATAGTTGTAGGTATAAAGAAAACATAGTAGGACACCAAAGTAATATAGTAGTCTCCATTCATCCCCGGGGATACATTTCAAACCCCCCAATATACAGCTGAAATCGTACATTGCACCAAGCCCTGTTTGTACCATATTTTCATACTACACATTCTCATATAACCCTATGATAAAGTTTAACTTCTAAATTAAGCACAGTGCGAGATAAGAAACAATAATAAAACAGAATAAGTATGACAATATGCTGCAATGAAAGTTATATGAATGTGGTCAATTTGATAACTGAGAAAAGCTCCTAAGTGACTAATTGGCAGCAGTGCATACACAGAGCATATACTCTAGAGGGATGATTCATTTCCTGGGCAGGACGCAGAGAGATTTCATCATAAGACTTAGAATGCAGTTCAATGTAGCACTTATGAATTGTTTATTTCTGAAATATGCCACTTAATGTTTATGGACAAGTTTATCACAAGGAATTGAAACTGCAAAAAGCAAACCCAGGGATATAAGGGGGGATTACTATTATATACCTAACAGCAAAGCAAGGTATGAACTAAAGTAATGAAAAAGGGGCTGGTCAGGAAAGGCTAAATTTGAGAAATATTAATTATTCCAGTATTGGGTAGATTATTAAACTGTTAGCAACACATCTGAGATGTTTATTTTTCTGAACTTAAAAAATTGTACTTTTTTTTTGGAGTAACACAATTGACATGCTAGTATGTTTCTTTCTCTTAATTTTTAAACTTAATTTCATTAAAAAAAAAAAAAGATGGGGAGAGCTCTTCTAAGTGCTGGTTCACATGTGCAACGGCTGGTGTTACAGCAGGCTTATGTCAGGAGCAGGGGAGCTCCAGGTCTCCTCCATGGTGCCAAGGGCCCAAGTGCCTAATGATGACCTTCTGCTTTCTAGGGGTGCATTAGATGGGATTTAGCTTCAGGTATTTCAGTACAGAATGGTGGTGTACAAGTGCTGACTTATGAACACTATGCCACATGCCTGATCTTATGTTTGTTTCTAATGTACAAGAATTTTCAAAATCTAACTGCATATAAACTACTTTAAAATGAACCACAGAATCTATTAAACACACAATATTACAGAAACATTTTAAAGTAGAGTTGATATTTAGTTTCTAAAATGTTTGTGAGGGGCTGGCGCGATGGCCTAGTGGCTAAAGTCCTTGCCTTGCATGCACAGGGATCCCATATGGGTGCCAGTTCAGGTCCTGGCTGCTCCATTTCTATCCAGATTCCTGCCTATGGTCTGGGAAACCATTACAGGACGGCCCAGAGCCTTAAGACCCTGCCCCAGTGTGGGAGACCCAGAAGAAGCTCGTGGCTCCTAGCTTCAGATCGCTTCAGCCCTAGCCATTGTAGCCACTTGGAGAGTGAACCAATGGATGGAAGATCTTTCTATCTCTCCTTCTCTGTAAACCTGACTTTCCAATAAAAATAAAATAAATGTAAAAAAAAACACCTTTTAAAATGTGTTTGTGTGTTTAAAAACCCATGTGTGAACCATCACTGTGCCACAATAGATTAAGCCACCACCTACAACACTGGGATCCCATATGGGTATCAATACTGGCTGCTCCACTTCCAATTCAGCTACCTGCTAAAAAGCCTGGAAAAACAGCATAAGATGGCCCAAAGCCTAGGACCTTCCATTCATGTGGAAGACCCAAATGAAGTTTCCAGCTCCAGGCTTCATTCAGTCTGGCCCAGTTCTGGCCTTTGTGACCATTTGGGGAGGGAATCAGCAATGGAAAATCTCTTTGTCTTAACTGCTGATGGCTTAACTCTCTTAAGTCAGAATGCATGGAGAATGGTATGTCATCACTTCAGCAGGACAAATACTGAAATTTGAAAATGTTATCAATTATACTATGTCATTTCCATGACTCACATAAATGACATTCAAAGCTTGAACAATTTGTTGACCATCTTATTATTGGTAACAGAATAATTTGGTCCCATTGCTGGAACATAGAGCATATTCAAATGCATTTTACCAAACATCTGGCTTTGATACACAGCAATGATGATACTGCTTAGTTAGGAACTTGACGTGGGGAAGCTGTCACTCGACTGTCAGACCAGTAACCAACAACAGATTTTCCATAGCTAAGGCTCTCCTTCCCTCATCAATAATGTTTATGAAGAATTTTTTATTTATGATGACAGACAAACCATGTTTTGTTAATGTTAATGACATAGGGTATTAATTAATGCATCACATTGTTCAGAATGTTGTGTTTTACTTACCTTTCTGCTTTTGGAAGAAATGTAAGCTCATTTCTAAAATATCTGGAAATAAAAAATGCATAAAGAACAAAAACATCAGTCAGAATGTTACAATTGAAGCATATAATAATGATATTCTCATGTTTTCCTTTTAACACTGTGGATATGTTACTTTACGTGCCTTTGTAAATTCATGTACTCAGATGCCTATGTCAATCCACAGCTTCACTTAATACGTGCTATAATTTGTTCGCCCAATACCAATGATCGCTTATTCTTTTTTAATTTAAAGACTTATTTATTTTTTTTGGAAACGCAGATTTACTGAGAGAAGACGAGAGACAAAGAGGAAGTTTTTCCCTTTGCTTTTTATTTATTATTTATTTTATTATTTTTTTCTTATTGCAAAGTCAGATATACACAGAGGAGGAGAGACAGAGAGGAAGATCTTCCATCAGATGATTCACTTTCCAAGTGACTGCAACGGCTGGTGCCATGCCAGGAGCCAGGAACTTCCTCCAGGTCTGCCACGTGGGTGCAGGGTCCCAAAGCTTTGGGCGCTCCTTGACTGCCTTCCCAGACCCAAGCATAGAGCTGGATGGGAAGTGGAGCTGCCAAGACAGGATCTGGTGTCCAAAAGGGATCCTGGTGCCTGCAGGGTGAGTATTTAGCCACTAGGCTACCACGCTGGGCCCTGCTTATCCTTTTTTATTGCTTAGTATTATTATGCCTCTCTTACATTGATCTACACTGCCCTGTTACATGCGTTTCTTACACATAATCTCCCCTCAGAAGAGTCTACCAATTTACGGTAGAAACTATATGAGCGTACAAGTCCCTAGAGCCCTGTTTTTTATTCATCTTTTTGTCTACATGATATAAAAAAAAAAAATCACTTGCTTCCTTAACTGCATTTTTCACTTTCAGGAGTGGGGCTTCATTTGCCCCACTTTTTTATAAGCATCCTAGGATATTAGGGCTGTTACTGAACCTCAGCACAGGTTCAAATGCCACATTTGGAAATACTTAATCTGGGTATAATTTAACTCATTCTAGGTGATAGGAGACCTCACTAAATCTGCTCCAAAGTCTCTAGCAGAAGGCCATTGAGTCAGTCTTAAAATTTCTACGTGGTAGAGGATACTTTTTATTTCCGAATATCAATAAAATAACGAATGCCAGATTTTAAGCTGGTAGAAATCACCAGTTTCTAGGTGTTTCCTTTTGGCTCAGTTTAGCAGCAGTGCTGAGCTGTGAAACTTCTAATTCATCCCAGCTGCTCAGGGACTCGACGGGCTTTTGGAGACCCCCCAGGAAGGTGCGGGAGCCTCCTCAGGGTCCCGGGACGGCGCGGGGCGTGGAGAAGGAACAGCAGCCCCGACACTCCCCTTCAGGGAGTCGGCCAGCCCCTTCGGCTCACATGACTTCAAGTTTCTGACCCCCGAACGAACTGAACTCATACACTGCTTTTTGTTTGTTTTTTCCTTTCACTTACAAGATGAGCCGAAGGAATTTCCACTCCCTGTCAGAGCAACTTCAAGGGCATGACAACAAACAACACAGACAGGATTAATCAGAGCTCCCTCCACCCCCGACTCGATCCCTTCTTTCTCCTCTGTCTGATTCACGGCTGGGCTCGCTAGTCGTCTTCGGCGTGCCTGAAGGACCCAATCCTCCGGAGATTCCCAGTCAAGGGAAAAAAATCCGAAAACGGAGGCCCTCATCCTAGTCCCCTTTCTAATGAATCCAAAGAGGAAGCGAGAAGAGATGACTCTTACTTAGACTTGGGCTGAAGGCGGTGTTTGTGAGTCGGTTCGGGTCAGGCATCACGCAGGTCGCCTAGTTTCCCGGCTGGCTGCGCGCGAGGACCTCCCCTGCTCCTCAGCCGCCGCCGCGGTTGCTGGGGGTGGTGGGTACGCTCTTTGCTACCGCGGACGCGCCGGAGTCCGTGTCCGCCACTCTTCTGGCCCGAAGCGGCTTCTTGCCTGCGTCGCGCCCCTGCCTCCTGTGGTATCGAGGAGGAGTCCCTGCGGACCCCTGGCACGTTAGTGGAAGATGCCGCTCTTTGCTACCAATCCCTTCGACCAGGATGTTGGTGAGTGTTGGGGAGCCCATGCAGGTCCGTGCCCCTTCCCCGGCCAGGACGGGGAGCCCCCGTGGCCGCCCGGGGCGTCCTTTCAGGACTCTTCCCCCGGGGCCGCGGCCACGCTCGTCCGCTTTCCCGAGGCGCGTTCCCCGTGGGAGCCGGGAGAAGGTTCGGGGCTCGGCACGTTCCCTTGGAAAGGAGCGAGTCTGTGAAATGGGCCTGGAGCGAGGGCTGGGTGTCGGAGGAGCTGCGTGCGGGTGTCCGGGGCCTGGAGGGAGCAGCCCGGAGGGGCAGCCACGGGCCCGGGTGTCCCCCGGAGGAGGCTGGGAGGCGCCCGCCGCTGGCTCATCCCCTGACTGGTCAGGGCTGGCCTGTCCACTGTGCTGGGAGCCATGGAGAGGTGCCGAATCCAGGACCCGAGTCTCTGGCATGCTTTGGTTTGACTAGGTCTCTGCACTTCAGGAAGTGTGCAGGAGGCCATTGAGTCAGGAAAGGGGTTGGAAATAGTCATTTTTATTTTGCTTTCTGAATTGTTAGTGTAGGTATTGGTTGCATCGATTCAGCAGGATTGATTTTTGTGTGTGCTTACCCAAGCACGCCCTGTCCCGAAGGTAGTTAGTAATGGTGGGAAATTGAGCTTTAAGGAAAGAATTTGGGGATGATTTGAACGTTCTTAGTAATCCCTTTGGCACACAAAAGATTATTGAAATTTAGCCCCCCCCCCCCCATTTGTAGAGAATATTTTTGGAGCTGGAGGGCTTGGAAGCCATTCAGTCCTATCTCTAGAATTTCCTAGCTCACAGTTATCTTGAAAATTGTGAAGAGACATCCTTCTATTCTGTAAATGAATAAAATACTGTGTGAAGGGAGCCTACTACAGTGGTTTTATGTCATAGGCAGTTAATGCCACTTTGTTGTTGTTGTGGCTTAAATGTATTGTCCTGGGTTTTAGTGTTGGATGGAACTTTAGATATATATCACTGATGATACTAATAACGAATTGGAAAATTGTATCTAATAAACTCTTGGCACATATTGCTTACCAGACTGTTACTCAGTGAACAATACCTGGTTAGTGATCTCAAGTAATTTTATAGTTTACTACGTCTTTAGGGCAAATGCATAAGATTAAAAACTTTTTTTATGGATATTCATATGAAAGTTAGAGGTCTTGCATCTGCTCTTTGCTCCCCAAATGGCTGCAACAGTTGAAGCCAGTCCAGTCTGAAGCCAGATTAGTGCGGATCCCTAATGTGCGCACCTGAACTCTTGGTATCTTCCCAGGCACGTTAGCAGGGCGCTGGATTGGAAGTGGACTAGCTGCGTTTTGAGCTGGCCTGGGTCGTGGCTGGTGTCACAGATAAAGGTTTAGAAGGCTATGCCACAACGCCTATCCCAAGACCAGTGAACTTGAAAAGATGTCAGATAATGTCACTTACTCTGCTCATAGCCCCTCCAGTAGTTTCCCATTTCGCCTTAAGAGAAACTGTAAATTCTTTATCTGCAGGCACACGTGGGTTCTTTCCTGCGTTTTGAGGTGATTATACTCCCCAGTATCTGACTTGCCCCTTCCATTTCTATCTCTAGCACTTGACTACTGAACATTCCTTTGATTGATTGGTATCCTTTGTGTGGAGTGCAAACTCTGCGTGGATGAGAACTTTTAATTTCTATGCTTTCTTTTAGGGAGAGTGCCTGGTGGATTGTAAGCATTCTAAGTATTTATTGACTAATGAATTATTGATGGTTTTCCCTGTTAGTCTTATATTTCAGTTTGGTGATCTGCTATTTAAATATTAGGAAAAAAGTCAGAAGAACCCAGTGTGTTTTTCATTCTTTATTCATGATTTGATAAGTTTTAAATTTTCTAAATATGTGACTTGAAACCCAAGCAGCGTCTTTGAGTTGTTCCTCTGCCTGTGGCAAGTAGCCTGTCTTTGTTTTCTGGGTACATTTGCATTCCTACTCAGATAGAGACTTTAGCGTATCTTAACATTGGACATGTTTAGTCATGCTTATTCATTCGAGTGTTATAAGTCAGAACCAGATTAATCTCCACAAATATTAATGTCACTTCATTCTCCTAAAATGATTGAGTGGACACACCTTGCCTGTGTTAAGTTGGGCCTGTGACTTTTTTTTTCCAGTTTTATCCAGTTTTTAGAATATTATTGGAGCGGGAGGGCTTGGAAGCCCTAGCAAGTGTACAAAACAGAAACCTGTGGGGAGAGGTTCCCTCTTCAACTTTGTAAATAGAGATAAAACTATTTGTAGAATTGCTGTTGCTATAAGGACAACTTGTATACACATGGTAGTTTTAACTTTTAACTGGAGTTCAATATGCTTTAAATAATTCATCATGTTCAAAACTGTTGAAACTTTCATCCCTTCTGCTTTTTCTCTGTTTTGATAGCTTCATACTTCATTTTAATCACAAAGATGAAGATCATGAGAGCAGTTTTTGATTTCTGTAGTTGTAGCTCTTTACATTATAAGTAGCACACATTACCTATTATGTGCCAGACACATTCAGAAGATTCCATTGTCTTCCTAATAGTTCTTGAATTGTTTGTTTTCATGCAACTGTCAGCACTTTTTTGTATAGATTGTTGCAACAGTCTTTAACTACTTGGCTACCCATCATTTTCCAGGTGGCTAACAGCAATATTTTTCAAATGTAAATGTAATCATATGGCTCTTCTGATTAAAATATTTTGGTGACTCTATAGCTTTCACAGTAATATAAACTTGCTGTGGTGTGTAATTTGGCTCTTAACCTCTTCATCCTAGCCTTTACTTCCTTTGCTAAAGGAATTTTTCACCCCCTTTCCTCTCTTTCTCTTTAAGATTTCATTTTTATTTGAAAGGCAGATTTACAGGAAGAGGAGAGACAGATCTCCCATCTGCTGGTTCACTCCCCAAATGATTGCAACAGTCAGAGCTGGACCCAGTCTGAAGCCAAGAGTCTGGAACCTCTTCCAGGTTTCCCAGATGGGTGCAGGGGCCCAAGGATTTGGGCTATCCTTTGTTGTTTTCCCAGGCACATTAGCAGGGAGCTGGATTAGAAGCGGAGTAATTGGGACTCCAGCTGGTGCCCATGTGGGATGCCAGGAACAAGATGAAAACTTAACCCACTATGCCACTGTGCTGTCCCCTCTCTCCTTACTTGGTTTGACCAGTGTGCATTGCAAGTGCAGATCCCCTGAACTGACAGCCTTCTCACTAGTCCGCGTTGGAGTTGAGTTGGGGAGATAATTTACGTGCAGTACTTAGACCAGCAGCTGGTGTACAATAAGCGGTGCACACATTTCAGCTCCTTTTCTAATACCGCTGAAGAGAGAGTGACTCGCCTTGCAAGGCAAGAACTTTAGCCATTAGGCTACTGTGCCAGGCCCTAGATTCTGATTTTTATTTTATGCACATTGACATGCTTTCATGCTGTTCTTTTGTAACCTTTTCTGTTTAGCAATGTTTAGGATTGCCTTTCCTTGTAGATATAGCTTCCTGTAGCTAAAAGGGTAAGGGCATAAGATGAAGTATTTTTGAGAAATTAAAGCTCATAATCACAACAAAAGATGGGACAGGGTTATTGTTGGAGGCTTGTGTGCTGCACCGGTGTTTGTGAAGAGCTGTTACAGCTCCGGATGGACTAAGTGACAGTCCTTTGCCCAAGCTTCAGTGGGATTGACCGTTAGCTCATTAGCCTTTCTCCCTTGATTTTTGACAGGCCTGTTTTGAGAAAATAAGTACCTGCTTATTGAAATTCAAAGCAAGTTTTGAGATCTCCTTTGAAATTAAAGTAAAACTGCATATATCTAATTTTTCTGGTTCTATTGGGCAGGTTTCTCAGTGTGTTCTTTTTGAGTATTCCTGTATAGATCATCTGAGGGTAGTACTGAGATCCTTGTGAAGTTTGAAGTTCTTTAGATTAGACTGAAGTCTTTTCATTTTTGTCTTTCTCCTTTTCCACAAACCCATGATTTTTCTTAGGAAACACTTTTGACTGTCTTTGCTGCTCACAAAATCATGTTAAATTGCTACTGTATTTTAGTAGCTTTTATTTTTGTGCTTTTATATGTGTGCTCTTTTTAAACTATTTATTTATTTATTTATTGGAAAGTCAGATATACAGAGAGGAGGAGAGACAGAGAGGAAGATTTTCCATCCGATGATTCATTCCCCAAGTAACTGCTACGGTTGATGCTATGCCGATCCGAAGTCAGGAGCCAGGAACTTCTTCCAGGTATCCCACACGGGTGCAGGGTCCCAAAGCTTTGGGTTGTCCTCGACTGCTTTCTCAAGCCACAAGCAAGGAGCTGGATGGGAAATGGAGCTACCGGGATTAGAACCGGCGCCCATATGGGATCCTGGGGCGTTCAAGGCGAGGACTTTAGCTGCTAGGCCATGCTGCCGGGCCCTATATGTGTGCCGTTGATCTTGTTGATCATGTGTATTAAATGGTGAGCAAATTTTTACAGTCTGAAATGACTGCTGTTCTGATTTTATGTATACTCGATTGAGTCAGACACATAGCGATGTAAACATAGTTGAGAGGGATGCCTGCCATGTGGACCACTGAATAGGATTGGAAGGTTCAAGGAATGGGGAAAATGGATGAGAACAACTGACCTAATGTGAACTGGCTGGTGTTGCAGTCCAACCATGCCTGGCCTATACCTCGTCCTGGTTCTCAGATCTGCCAGTGGGTGTTATGAACTGATCCAGCCTGGTCTGTCCCCAGAACTGACCCACACATGCAGGCAGGTACTGTAACTGTAACCTGGCCTGATCTGGGCTGCTCCCAGCCTTGGTTCTTGTGCTTACCTGCAGGAACTGTGTCTTGACACAGGAGTTTGCAAGCTGCTGTGTCATGTTTCCTCCCAGTGGCAGACATTATGCACACTGGTGGGTCCTTGACCCAGACTTACTCTGCTCTCTGTCCTGGACTGAACAGTGGCCTTGTTTGACGAGCCCACACCCATTCTGGCTCTCACTGTTGTGCACTACAG